CAGCTCGTGTGGTGTTATGCAAATTCGCTGGCAAACAATTGCCGCTGATGCAACAGCTCCTGTGTGGCTGTTCGAATTCGCTGCAAACGATGGCAAACGATGCCGTTGATGCTACAGCTCGCGTGTAGCGGTGCGAGTACGCTGGCAAACGATGGCAAACGATGCCTTTGATGCTACAGTTCGTGTGCTGCTTTCGGAATTCGCTGGCAAACAATGGCAAACGATGCCGTTGATGCTACAGCTCGCGTGTAGCGGTGCGAGTACGCTGGGAAACGATGGCAAACGATGCCTTTGATGCTACAGTTCGTGTGCTGCTTTCGGAATTCGCTGGCAAACAATGGCAAACGATGCCGTTGATGCTACAGTTCGTGTGTGGCTGTCCGAATTCGCTGGCAAACAATTGCCACTGATGCAACAGTTCGTGTGTTGCTATGCGAATTCGCTGGCAAACGATGGCAAACGATGCCGTTGATGCTACAGTTCGTGTGTTGCTATGCGAATTCGCTGGCAAACGATGGCAAACGATGCCGTTGATGCTACAGTTCGAGTGTTGCTTTCCGAATTCGCTGGCAAACGATGGCAAACGATGCCTTTGATGCTACAGTTCGTGTGCTGCTTTCGGAATTCGCTGGCAAACAATGGCAAACGATGCCGTTGATGCTACAGTTCGTGTGTTGCTATGCGAATTCGCTGGCAAACGATGCCTTTGATGCTACAGTTCGTGTGTTGCTTTAAGAATCCGCTGGCAAACGATGGCAAACGATGCCTTTGATGCTACAGCTCGTGTGGTGTTATGCAAATTCGCTGGCAAACAATTGCCGCTGATGCAACAGCTCCTGTGTGGCTGTTCGAATTCGCTGCAAACGATGGCAAACGATGCCGTTGATGCTACAGCTCGCGTGTAGCGGTGCGAGTACGCTGGCAAACGATGCCAAACGATGCCGTTGATGCTACAATTCGTGTGTGGCTGTCCGAATTCGCTGGCAAACAATTGCCACTGATGCAACAGCTCGTGTGTGGCTGTCCGAATTCGCTGGCAAACAATGGCAAGCGATGCCGTTGATGCTACAGTTCGTGAGTGGCTGTCCGATTTCGCTGGCAAACGATGGCAAACGATGCCTTTGATGCTACAGTTCGTGTGTTGCTTTAAGAAGCCGCTGGCAAACGATGGTAAACGATGCCTTTGATGCTACAGCTCGTGTGTTGTTATGCAAATTCGCTGGCAAACAATTGCCACTGATGCAACAGCTCGTGTGTGGCTGTCCGAATTCGCTGGCAAACGATGGCAAACGATGCCGTTGATGCTACAGTTCGTGTGTGGCTGTCCGAATTCGCTGGCAAACAATTGCTACTGATGCAACAGTTCGTGTGTTGCTATGCGAATTCGCTGGCAAACGATGGCAAACGATGCCTTTGATGCAACAGTTCGAGTGTTGCTTTCCGAATTCGCTGGCAAACGATGGTAAACGATGCCTTTGATGCTACAGTTCGTGTGCTGCTTTCGGAATTCGCTGGCAAACAATGGCAAACGATGCCGTTGATGCTACAGTTCGTGTGTTGCTATGCGAATTCGCTGGCAAACGATGCCCTTGATGCTACAGTTCGTGTGTTGCTTTAAGAATCCGCTGGCAAACGATGGCAAACGATGCCTTTGATGCTACAGCTCGTGTGGTGTTATGCAAATTCGCTGGCAAACAATTGCCGCTGATGCAACAGCTCCTGTGTGGCTGTTCGAATTCGCTGCAAACGATGGCAAACGATGCCGTTGATGCTACAGCTCGCGTGTAGCGGTGCGAGTACGCTGGCAAACGATGGCAAACGATGCCTTTGATGCTACAGTTCGTGTGCTGCTTTCGGAATTCGCTGGCAAACAATGGCAAACGATGCCGTTGATGCTACAGCTCGCGTGTAGCGGTGCGAGTACGCTGGCAAACGATGGCAAACGATGCCTTTGATGCTACAGTTCGTGTGCTGCTTTCGGAATTCGCTGGCAAACAATGGCAAACGATGCCGTTGATGCTACAGTTCGTGTGTGGCTGTCCGAATTCGCTGGCAAACAATTGCCACTGATGCAACAGTTCGTGTGTTGCTATGCGAATTCGCTGGCAAACGATGGCAAACGATGCCGTTGATGCTACAGTTCGTGTGTTGCTATGCGAATTCGCTGGCAAACGATGGCAAACGATGCCGTTGATGCTACAGTTCGAGTGTTGCTCTCCGAATTCGCTGGCAAACGATGGCAAACGATGCCTTTGATGCTACAGTTCGTGTGCTGCTTTCGGAATTCGCTGGCAAACAATGGCAAACGATGCCGTTGATGCTACAGTTCGTGTGTTGCTATGCGAATTCGCTGGCAAACGATGCCTTTGATGCTACAGCTCGTGTGGTGTTATGCAAATTCGCTGGCAAACAATTGCCGCTGATGCAACAGCTCCTGTGTGGCTGTTCGAATTCGCTGCAAACGATGGCAAACGATGCCGTTGATGCTACAGCTCGCGTGTAGCGGTGCGAGTACGCTGGCAAACGATGCCAAACGATGCCGTTGATGCTACAATTCGTGTGTGGCTGTCCGAATTCGCTGGCAAACAATTGTCACTGATGCAACAGCTCGTGTGTGGCTGTCCGAATTCGCTGGCAAACAATGGCAAGCGATGCCGTTGATGCTACAGTTCGTGAGTGGCTGTCCGATTTCGCTGGCAAACGATGGCAAACGATGCCTTTGATGCTACAGTTCGTGTGTTGCTTTAAGAAGCCGCTGGCAAACGATGGTAAACGATGCCTTTGATGCTACAGCTCGTGTGTTGTTATGCAAATTCGCTGGCAAACAATTGCCACTGATGCAACAGCTCGTGTGTGGCTGTCCGAATTCGCTGGCAAACGATGGCAAACGATGCCGTTGATGCTACAGTTCGTGTGTGGCTGTCCGAATTCGCTGGCAAACAATTGCTACTGATGCAACAGTTCGTGTGTTGCTATGCGAATTCGCTGGCAAACGATGGCAAACGATGCCTTTGATGCAACAGTTCGAGTGTTGCTTTCCGAATTCGCTGGCAAACGATGGTAAACGATGCCTTTGATGCTACAGTTCGTGTGCTGCTTTCGGAATTCGCTGGCAAACAATGGCAAACGATGCCGTTGATGCTACAGTTCGTGTGTTGCTATGCGAATTCGCTGGCAAACGATGCCCTTGATGCTACAGTTCGTGTGTTGCTTTAAGAATCCGCTGGCAAACGATGGCAAACGATGCCTTTGATGCTACAGTTCGTGTGTTGCTATGCGAATTCGCTGGCAAACGATGGCAAACGATGCCTTTGATGCTACAGTTCGTGATTCGCTGGCAAACAATTGCCGCTGATGCAACAGCTCCTGTGTGGCTGTTCGAATTCGCTGCAAACGATGGCAAACGATGCCGTTGATGCTACAGCTCGCGTGTAGCGGTGCGAGTACGCTGGCAAACGATGGCAAACGATGCCTTTGATGCTACAGTTCGTGATTCGCTGGCAAACAATGGCAAACGATGCCGTTGATGCTACAGCTCGCGTGTAGCGGTGCGAGTACGCTGGCAAACGATGGCAAACGATGCCTTTGATGCTACAGTTCGTGTGCTGCTTTCGGAATTCGCTGGCAAACAATGGCAAACGATGCCGTTGATGCTACAGTTCGTGTGTGGCTGTCCGAATTCGCTGGCAAACAATTGCCACTGATGCAACAGTTCGTGTGTTGCTATGCGAATTCGCTGGCAAACGATGGCAAACGATGCCGTTGATGCTACAGTTCGTGTGTTGCTATGCGAATTCGCTGGCAAACGATGGCAAACGATGCCGTTGATGCTACAGTTCGAGTGTTGCTCTCCGAATTCGCTGGCAAACGATGGCAAACGATGCCTTTGATGCTACAGTTCGTGTGCTGCTTTCGGAATTCGCTGGCAAACAATGGCAAACGATGCCGTTGATGCTACAGTTCGTGTGTTGCTATGCGAATTCGCTGGCAAACGATGCCTTTGATGCTACAGTTCGTGTGTTGCTTTAAGAATCCGCTGGCAAACGATGGCAAACGATGCCTTTGATGCTACAGCTCGTGTGGTGTTATGCAAATTCGCTGGCAAACAATTGCCGCTGATGCAACAGCTCCTGTGTGGCTGTTCGAATTCGCTGCAAACGATGGCAAACGATGCCGTTGATGCTACAGCTCGCGTGTAGCGGTGCGAGTACGCTGGCAAACGATGCCAAACGATGCCGTTGATGCTACAATTCGTGTGTGGCTGTCCGAATTCGCTGGCAAACAATTGCCACTGATGCAACAGCTCGTGTGTGGCTGTCCAAATTCGCTGGCAAACAATGGCAAGCGATGCCGTTGATGCTACAGTTCGTGAGTGGCTGTCCGATTTCGCTGGCAAACGATGGCAAACGATGCCTTTGATGCTACAGTTCGTGTGTTGCTTTAAGAAGCCGCTGGCAAACGATGGTAAACGATGCCTTTGATGCTACAGCTCGTGTGTTGTTATGCAAATTCGCTGGCAAACAATTGCCACTGATGCAACAGCTCGTGTGTGGCTGTCCGAATTCGCTGGCAAACGATGGCAAACGATGCCGTTGATGCTACAGTTCGTGTGTGGCTGTCCGAATTCGCTGGCAAACAATTGCCACTGATGCAACAGTTCGTGTGTTGCTATGCGAATTCGCTGGCAAACGATGGCAAACGATGCCTTTGATGCAACAGTTCGAGTGTTGCTTTCCGAATTCGCTGGCAAACGATGGTAAACGATGCCTTTGATGCAACAGCTCGTGTGTGGCTGTCCGAATTCGCTGGCAAACGATGGCAAACGATGCCGTTAATGCTACAGTTCTTGTGTTGCTATGCGAATTCGCTGGCAAACGATGGCAAACGATGCCGTTGATGCTACAGTTCGAGTGTTGCTTTCCGAATTCGCTGGCAAATGATGGCAAACGATGCCGTTGATGCTACAGCTCTGTGCTGCTTTCGGAGTTCGCTGGCAAACGATGGTAAACGATGCCTTTGATGCTACAGCTCGTGTGCTGCTGTCCGAATTCGCTGGCAAACAATTGCCACTGATGCAACAGCTTGTGTGGCTGTCCGAATTCGCTGGCAAACAATGGCAAACGATGCCTTTGATGCTACAGTTCGTGAGTGGCTGTCCGAATTCGCTGGCAAACGATGGCAAACGATGCCTTTGATGCTACAGTCGTGTGCTGCTTTCGGAATTCGCTGGCAAACGATGGTAAACGATGCCCTTTATGCTACAGCTCGTGTGCTGCTGTCCGAATTCGCTGGCAAACAATGGCAAACGATGCCGTTGATGCTACAGTTCGTGAGTGGCTGTCCGAATTCGCTGGCAAACGATGGCAAACGATGTCGTTGATGCTACAGCTCTGTGCTGCTTTCGGAATTCGCTGGCAAACGATGGTAAACGATGCCTTTGGTGCTACAGCTCGTGTGTTGTTATGCAAATTCGCTGGCAAACAATTGCCACTGATGCAACAGCTCGTGTGTGGCTGTCCGAATTCGCTGGCAAACAATTGCCACTGATGCAACAGCTCGTGTGTGGCTGTCCGAATTCGCTGGCAAACAATGGCAAGCGATGCCGTTGATGCTACAGTTCGTGAGTGGCTGTCCGAATTCGCTGGCAAACGATGGCAAACGATGCCTTTGATGCTACAATTCGTGTGTTGCTTTAAGAATCCGCTGGCAAACGATGGTAAACGATGCCTTTGATGCTACAGCTCGTGTGTAGCGGTGCGAGTACGCTGACAAACGATGGCAAACGATGCCGTTGATGCTACAGTTCGTGTGTTGCTATGCGAATTCGCTGGCAAACGATGGCAAACGATGCCTTTGATGCAACAGTTCGAGTGTTGCTTTCCGAATTCGCTGGCAAACGATGGCAAACGATGCCGTTGATGCTACAGCTCTGTGCTGCTTTCGGAATTCGCTGGCAAACGATGGTAAACGATGCCTTTGGTGCTACAGCTCGTGTGCTGCTGTCCGAATTCCCTGGCAAACAATTGCCACTGATGCAACAGCTTGTGTGACTGTCCGAATTCGCTGGCAAACAATGGTAAACGATGCCTTTGATGCTACAGCTCGTGTGTAGCGGTGCGAGTACGCTGACAAACGATGGCAAACGATGCCGTTGATGCTACAGCTCGCGTGTAGCGGTGCGAGTACGCTGGCAAACGATGGGAAACGATGCCGTTGATGCTACAGTTCGTGTGCTGCTTTCGGAATTCGCTGGCAAACGATGGTAAACGATGCCCTTGATGCTACAGCTCGTGTGCTGCTGTCCGAATTCGCTGGCAAACGATGGTAAACGATGCCTTTGATGCAACAGCTCGTGTGTGGCTGTCCGAATTCGCTGGCAAACAATTGCCACTGATGCAACAGCTTGTGTGGCTGTCCGAATTCGCTGGCAAACAATGGCAAGCGATGCCGTTGATGCAACAGTTCGAGTGTTGCTTTCCGAATTCGCTGGCAAACGATGGCAAACGATGCCGTTGATGCTACAGCTCTGTGCTGCTTTCGGAATTCGCTGGCAAACGATGGTAAACGATGCCTTTGGTGCTACAGCTCGTGTGCTGCTGTCCGAATTCCCTGGCAAACAATTGCCACTGATGCAACAGCTTGTGTGACTGTCCGAATTCGCTGGCAAACAATGGCAAACGATGCCGTTGATGCTACAGCTCGCGTGTAGCGGTGCGAGTACGCTGGCAAACGATGGGAAACGATGCCGTTGATGCTACAGTTCGTGTGCTGCTTTCGGAATTCGCTGGCAAACGATGGTAAACGATGCCCTTGATGCTACAGCTCGTGTGCTGCTGTCCGAATTCGCTGGCAAACGATGGCAAACGATGCCGTTGATGCTACAGTTCGTGTGTTGCTATGCGAATTCGCTGGCAAACGATGGCAAATGATGCCGTTGATGCTACAGTTCGAGTGTTGCTTTCCGAATTCGCTGGCAAACAATGGCAAACGATGCCGTTGATGCTACAGCTCGCGTGTAGCGGTGCGAGTACGCTGGCAAACGATGGTAAACGATGCCTTTGATGCAACAGCTCGTGTGTGGCTGTCCGAATTCGCTGGCAAACGATGGCAAACGATGCCGTTGATGCTACAGTTCGTGTGTTGCTATGCGAATTCGCTGGCAAACGATGGCAAACGATGCCGTTGATGCTACAGTTCGTGTGTTGCTATGCGAATTCGCTGGCAAACGATGGCAAATGATGCCGTTGATGCTACAGTTCGAGTGTTGCTTTCCGAATTCGCTGGCAAACGATGGCAAACGATGCCGTTGATGCTACAGCTCTGTGCTGCTTTCGGAGTTCGCTGGCAAACGATGGTAAACGATGCCTTTGATGCTACAGCTCGTGTGCTGCTGTCCGAATTCGCTGGCAAACAATTGCCACTGATGCAACAGCTTGTGTGGCTGTCCGAATTCGCTGGCAAACAATGGCAAACGATGCCTTTGATGCTACAGTTCGTGAGTGGCTGTCCGAATTCGCTGGCAAACGATGGCAAACGATGCCTTTGATGCTACAGCTCGTGTGCTGCTTTCGGAATTCGCTGGCAAACGATGGTAAACGATGCCCTTGATGCTACAGCTCGTGTGCTGCTGTCCGAATTCGCTGGCAAACAATGGCAAACGATGCCGTTGATGCTACATTTCGTGAGTGGCTGTCCGAATTCGCTGGCAAACGATGGCAAACGATGCCTTTGATGCTACAATTCGTGTGTTGCTTTCCGAATTCGCTGGCAAACGATGGCAAACGATGCCGTTGATGCTACAGCTCTGTGCTGCTTTCGGAATTCGCTGGCAAACGATGGTAAACGATGCCTTTGGTGCTACAGCTCGTGTGTTGTTATGCAAATTCGCTGGCAAACAATTGCCGCTGATGCAACAGCTCGTGTGTGGCTGTTCGGATTCGCTGGCAAACGATGGCAAACGATGCCGTTGATGCTACAGCTCGAGTGTAGCGGTGCGAGTACGCTGGCAAACGATGGCAAACGATGCCGTTGATGCTACAATTCGTGTGTGGCTGTCCGAATTCGCTGGCAAACAATTGCCACTGATGCAACAGCTCGTGTGTGGCTGTCCGAATTCGCTGGCAAACAATGGCAAGCGATGCCGTTGATGCTACAGTTCGTGAGTGGCTGTCCGAATTCGCTGGCAAACGATGGCAAACGATGCCTTTGATGCTACAATTCGTGTGTTGCTTTAAGAATCCGCTGGCAAACGATGGTAAACGATGCCTTTGATGCAACAGTTCGAGTGTTGCTTTCCGAATTCGCTGGCAAACGATGGTAAACGATGCCTTTGATGCTACAGTTCGTGAGTGGCTGTCCGAATTCGCTGGCAAACGATGGCAAACGATGCCTTTGATGCTACAATTCGTGTGTTGCTTTGAGAATCCGCTGGCAAACGATGGTAAACGATGCCTTTGATGCTACAGCTCGTGTGTAGCGGTGCGAGTACGCTGACAAACGATGGCAAACGATGCCTTTGATGCTACAGTTCGTGTGCTGCTTTCGGAATTCGCTGGCAAACGATGGTAAACGATGCCTTTGATGCTACAGCTCGTGTGCTGCTGTCCGAATTCGCTGGCAAACAATTGCCACTGATGCAACAGCTTGTGTGGCTGTCCGATTTCGCTGGCAAACAACGGCAAACGATGCCTTTGATGCTACAGTTCGTGAGTGGCTGTCCGAATTCGCTGGCAAACGATGGCAAACGATGCCTTTGATGCTACAGCTCGTGTGCTGCTTTCGGAATTCGCTGGCAAACGATGGTAAACGATGCCCTTGATGCTACAGCTCGTGTGCTGCTGTCCGAATTCGCTGGCAAACAATGGCAAACGATGCCGTTGATGCTACATTTCGTGAGTGGCTGTCCGAATTCGCTGGCAAACGATGGCAAACGATGCCGTTGATGCTACAGCTCTGTGCTGCTTTCGGAATTCGCTGGCAAACGATGGTAAACGATGCCTTTGGTGCTACATCTCGTGTGTTGTTATGCAAATTCGCTGGCAAACAATTGCCGCTGATGCAACAGCTCGTGTGTGGCTGTTCGGATTCGCTGGCAAACGATGGCAAACGATGCCGTTGATGCTACAGCTCGAGTGTAGCGGTGCGAGTACGCTGGCAAACGATGGCAAACGATGCCGTTGATGCTACAATTCGTGTGTGGCTGTCCGAATTCGCTGGCAAACAATTGCCACTGATGCAACAGCTCGTGTGTGGCTGTCCGAATTCGCTGGCAAACAATGGCAAGCGATGCCGTTGATGCTACAGTTCGTGAGTGGCTGTCCGAATTCGCTGGCAAACGATGGCAAACGATGCCTTTGATGCTACAATTCGTGTGTTGCTTTAAGAATCCGCTGGCAAACGATGGTAAACGATGCCTTTGATGCAACAGTTCGAGTGTTGCTTTCCGAATTCGCTGGCAAACGATGGTAAACGATGCCTTTGATGCTACAGTTCGTGAATGGCTGTCCGAATTCGCTGGCAAAGGATGGCAAACGATGCCTTTGATGCTACAATTCGTGTGTTGCTTTGAGAATCCGCTGGCAAACGATGGTAAACGATGCCTTTGATGCTACAGCTCGTGTGTAGCGGTGCGAGTACGCTGACAAACGATGGCAAACGATGCCTTTGATGCTACAGTTCGTGTGCTGCTTTCGGAATTCGCTGGCAAACGATGGTAAACGATGCCTTTGATGCTACAGCTCGTGTGCTGCTGTCCGAATTCCCTGGCAAACAATTGCCACTGATGCAACAGCTTGTGTGACTGTCCGAATTCGCTGGCAAACAATGGCAAACGATGCCGTTGATGCTACAGCTCGCGTGTAGCGGTGCGAGTACGCTGGCAAACGATGGGAAACGATGCCGTTGATGCTACAGTTCGTGTGTTGCTATGCGAATTCGCTGGCAAACGATGGCAAACGATGCCTTTGATGCAACAGTTCGAGTGTTGCTTTCCGAATTCGCTGGCAAACGATGGTAAACGATGCCTTTGATGCTACAGTTCGTGTGTTGCTATGCGAATTCGCTGGCAAACGATGGAAAACGATGCCTTTGATGCAACAGTTCGAGTGTTGCTTTCGGAGTTCGCTGGCAAACGATGGTAAACGATGCCTTTGATGCTACAGCTCGTGTGCTGCTGTCCGAATTCGCTGGCAAACAATTGCCACTGATGCAACAGCTTGTGTGGCTGTCCGAATTCGCTGGCAAACAATGGCAAACGATGCCTTTGATGCTACAGTTCGTGAGTGGCTGTCCGAATTCGCTGGCAAACGATGGCAAACGATGCCTTTGATGCTACAGCTCGTGTGCTGCTTTCGGAATTCGCTGGCAAACGATGGTAAACGA